TTATCCGTTTTTATTTTTTGGTTCTAAAAGAATTTAACTTAATAACCCAAAACACAATTTTCTTCGGCGTCTAATTGGTTTTCAAGGTAAAATAAGTCCCTTTAGTTGCTATACTTCCTTGTTCTAAGTATGCTTCCCAATCAAATTATATATTTTTCACCCATGTATATTTATATTTGTTCCTTCACTCTCTTTCTTTTGTTTTACCTTCTTTGTTTAACCAATTAATACTATGTTTTTCGTATCCGTTTTTGTACTCTTAGCAATTCAATGTCATTGAGGAGACTTTTGATTCTAATGATTTTCCTTTCATACGAAATTTTGATGGCACTTAGGTCATTCCCCCTTTCTTTCTCTACAATCAAAACTTATATTTCGCAACCGTAGTATAATATATTTTATGGATATCCCTTTTCATATATACTTATCCTGAGTCAAGTATAATTTAAATTTCTTCTCTCTTAAATTTAGGTTTTGCCTTCTGTATTTCCGTTTAACCACATATTTCTCTTAAAATTTTAAACTCTCTCACAAGGCAATCATCCAGTCACAGCCTATGAGGTATAACAACAGTAGATCATGCTAACCAAGCGAATTTTCTTTATATTTATTTATAAAAATGCACCTTCCTTCCTCTTCTGTCCTTAACGAACTAGCAATAAAAATCTGCAAATTCTTTTATATCACACTTTCGCATTTATTACGCAGCTCTCAGTAAAATTATAATATGACTACTCTCCATATTGGTATATGGAATGCAAATGGACTTAGACGCAAAATGGATGAACTTATCCAATTTATGAATTACCACAACACGGACATAATGCTAATTAGCGAAACTCACCTAAACTACAGCTCTCACATTGAAGCTCAAGGCTATGCAGTCCTCTCAGCAAACTCGCCCCACAATCATCTGTATGTAGGCGGAGCTGCCATTCTCATATCCAACAGAATTCGCTTTCAAACACTGCCTTGCATCTCCTTGTCATATTTGCATTGTGCCATGGTGAAGCTACATACCACCTCAGGGAACTTCTGCATAGCTGCCTGCTATTGGCCCCCCAATCATCCCGTAAATCAGGACAACTATAACTGGTTATTTGATCAACTAGGTGAAAACTTCCTGATTGCAGGTGACTGGAACGCTAAACATAGACTATGGGGCAACCAACGTCAATGTGCTCGCGGTTCTATACTTGCTAATATCATACTAAGATCTAATCAATTCAATGTCCTCACAACGGGTGAACCTACCCACTTTCCACCAAATAACTCTCGCCCCAGTGTTCTTGATTTCTGTGTCTATGCTGGAATAGCAAGCCATAAACTTTCCATAACTCGTGTCACTGAATTACACAGTGACCACTTACCGTTACTAGTTAGGATGGAGCTAACCATTGCTAATCAAGATCCCCTAAACCAAAATCGAAGGAGCCGGTCTCGGCCACCCTGTCGTCGCTTACTAACGGAACGTTCCAACTTAACAGTATTCAATCGACATCTGGAATCTGTCTTAAACCTGAATGTAGAAATTTCCTCTACAAATGACATTGATGATATGCTATGTCTTTTTATACAAAACCTCAATAATGCTGCGAGAGCTTCAAACTCTCCTGCAACCATCCTACCTATTCGAAGAAATAGCAACAATAATGGCACTGACATTCCTTTTCGTCTGCCGCCTACCCAAGTGAACGAACGTCTTAACTTAATTCGTCAAAAACGCAGGCTACGCAAACGCTGGATGCGCTCACGCCGTCATGACCACTGGCAAGAATGGCAGCAAACTAGTCGCCAGCTAGCCCTTCTGCTTCGCTCCCATCGCCAACAATATGTAGATCACACGCTCAGTAACGCTGATCCTTCAAAGAAAGGCGCTCTTAACCTTTGGCACGCCACCAAAAATCTTAAGCGGCAGCCACAAGCCCAGCACAGTGTCCGCAATCAAAATGGGCATTGGTGCCAATCAGCCGAAGATCAGGTTGAAGCTTTTGCTGATGAACTTCAATCACGCTTTACTCCCTTTGAGCTTGCGCCTACTGTGCACTGCCACCGAATACAGCGCTTTCTTGATCAAACAATCAGTGTTAATGAAACTGATCTACTATCCTCCCCCACACGAATTTGTCACCTGCGCCATGTTACGCCTAGTGAACTGGATGCCTATATCGGGCAACTGAAAATTCGTAAGTCTCCTGGTATTGATCGTATTGACAACTATCTACTAAAACATTTATCAAAAAAAGGCAAACTTTTCCTTCTGCATCTATTCAACAATATGCTCCGCCTGCAGTACTTCCCATCTCAATGGAAATGTGCCGCAATCAGAATGATATTAAAAGGTGGTAACGTGTCCACATCTGAACTAAAGTCTTACCGGCCAATAAGCCTCCTATCAACAGTTTCGAAGCTTTTCGAAAAAGTAATTTATGAGCGATTAATTGATGAGTTAAAATCACCTGTTGACAATAAACTAGACTGTGCTGCAGTATTACCAGAACACCAATTTGGTTTCCGAGCAGGGCACAGCACAATACAGCAAGTTCACCGCCTTGTTGAGCACATTAACATGTCCTTCGAAAGAGGAGACTATACATCAGGCGTCTTTCTGGACATACAACAGGCTTTTGACCGTGTATGGCATGCTGGTCTTCTTTTTAAATTACGAATGTACACTAGTGAACCTCTCTATAAAATATTGAAATCCTTTCTATCCGAACGATGCTTCTGTGTGCTAAGTAATATTACAGCAAGTACCTCTGCTGCACAGTCTGGCCCAGTCCAATCGACTACTCGGCCCATACTGGCTGGCGTACCGCAAGGCAGTGTACTGGCGCCACTGCTTTTCAATATTTATGTCTCTGACATGCCTTGCATAGCCACTCATATCCAATCTACTGAACAACACCCTACTTCAAAGATTAACGGTCTAACAGCGACATACGCTGATGACACTGCTTTTCTATGCAGTGCCAACAATGCTGAAATTGCCTGCAACTACATGCAAGATCATGTTAATCAATTTGCTGAATGGGCCAAAAAATGGAACATTCAAGTAAATGGCAATAAATCAGCTCATATCCTCTTCACCTTACGTAATAATATCGCAACTCCTGTCGTTAAAATAAATGACAATATCATACCGGCCAAATGCCTTGTAAAATATTTGGGTCTTCACTTAGACAATAAACTAAATTGGTCACGTCATGTTCGCATAACCACTCAGTCCATTCGTACAAAGTTATCCAAACACAAGTGGCTTCTATCTGCCAACAGATCCAAGCTATCACTAAAAAATAAATTACTCATTTATAAACAAATCATTGCCCCTGCCTGGTACTATGGCATTGAGCTATATGGCTGTGCTGCCGATACACACCTGCGCAAACTACATAGCATTCAATCACAGGCCCTCCGCCTAATTTGCAATGCACCCTACTATGTCAGAAACCGTACTCTTCACAATGATACCAAAATCCCTACAGTGTGGGAAATAATCAATTCCCGTGCTAAGCAATACAACGACCGGCTAGAAAACCACCCAAACAAATTGGCAAGACTCTTACTAATATCAGGGAGTTACCGAGTTCAACGACGTCTTAGGCGAATATGGCCCGGTGCCCAACTAATTCGACGCAGAGCACCACCATACCTCATCTAGTCTGCATCAACTCTAGCAATGCAAAATCTGCTGCCATACCATAACGTTCAAATGATCACTTTCAGTAAGTACTCATAATTTTAACAACATTACTAACCTCCTTTATCTTGCATGCAACCTGTCACGGATTCTCGTACAAGCATTTGTTCTTGGCCCTTATGCTCTATACATGCAGCAACAAAGACGGCGGTGGCCTTCATTTCCACCAACTCTTCCATATTGAAGAGTCCGCAGAACTATCTATGATAGGCATATTTAATGCCTTCTATTGTATATTATGCTGTTACTCCTTTTCTCATGCTCTGTGCCATATTACTGATGTACTTATGCTTGATAATCCACAATAATACCCATTATGACGTCAATTGAGCGAATCCTGTTAACTGATGCCCTTATGCTTGATACTCTAAAATTTCTCTCTGCCACTACACCATCCACGGTGCTTACATCAACCTTCCTACGATGTACTTGATACTCCTCTTGATGTCCAGCTGCTTCCAAGCCTTCGTGTCCCTGAGCACGACCACCTGGCCAGTTTATACTGCCCCCAGCCAAGCCTTTCGTGCCCGCTGTGCACGATCACCTGGCCGGTCATACCGCCCCCAGCCAAGCCTTTCGTGCCCCTTGTGCGCGATCACCTGGCCGGTTTTACCGTGCCCAGCCCCACACTAATTCACCCACACATTATGCACTGGTTCTTCGGCAAGTTACTTTATCAACTGTTAGCCTTTCTCCTAATCTTCACTTCAAGTAATACAACTCTGTCATGCGCATCTCTGCTGATATGCATTCCTCCCAATTCAACGAACAGAACAAGTTTGTCTCGTATACCAGGAGCCCTGTTTAAAATCATGTGCAGCCTAGGTGAGCAAACTGACTATACTATCCAAAACAACGAACAGGACATGTTTGTCTCGTATACCGGGGGCCCTGTTTAAAAACCATGAGCAGCCTAGGTGAGCAAACAGACTCGACTCTATCTTGGTTTGATTATCATGCAGATGATGACTAAATGATGCTTTTTGTAAAGGTCTTCCAATATATATATATATATATATATATATATACTCTCCGCCTAGGATACTCTTCATAATTATCTATACGATCTCTATTAACAAACTAATTTCCAAATTAACCATTCTCTATCAACTTTCTGGAGCATTATAATTATTCAATATGCACATGCATTCCGCTCTGCATACTAGAATAGAGACAATGCCAAGACCGCAACCGTGTATGTTCTAGTTATGCTGTCGGCAGCTTGTTCATATTACAATTTCTCGTACAGCTGAACAACTCCCATAGTCTTTAATTTCCAAATTAACCAATCTTCATAAACTTTCTGGAACATTATAATTATTCAATATGCAACTTGCTTTCCGCTCTGCATACTAGAATAGAGACAATGCCAAGACCGCAACCGTGTATGTTCTAGTTATGCTGTCGGCAGCTTGTTCATGTTACAACCATCCACTCCTAATAAACTTTTGCATCATTCATTTGATGTCTTTGTCATTTATCCAGTTGCACAGTCACACAACATCACCCATAAATAAACTTACTCTATACATTAAAAATCCATCGCACGTCAGTCTCTATGAGAGGGGAGACGCACAAACGACAACGCATGGTAACCAGTTAAAATACTTTGTCATACCTGGCATTGCAGCAGCAGGGTATTCTAAGATGTTTTTTAGTCCTGCCTTTTGTCTCAAGCAGCAGTTTTTTCATCCAAGTTGCCCTGCACTCTTGCCATTTTTACGTCACCTCCTCTCCCTTACAGCACATTATCAGAACAGCCGGCTTATGGCATTCAAAATACTAGTAATGCTGTCGCCGCTTTCAGTCTAAAGATGTTATGCTCAATTAATCACAATCAATTACAAAGAAGAAATGAGACAAACATAATTACACTTGCTATATCATACCGGGATAAAACCCTAAACTATATCAAATCAAAGTATTGTGATTATATTAAGCTTCAAATTTTGTAACTGGAATTTGTAAACATCTATCCTAAATAAATCCGGACAAAGCTTGGCTGCCTACATATGAATGTGGAGCGTGTTTGTTTGGAATGTGTTTCTGCACCATGGTCAAGTGGGAACCAATTCCTCCTGTGTGTTCACTCATATTCCATTCACACACTCGCTTCCATTTGGATGTATGGTATCTGTAAATGCTCTGTCAATATAAAGGAAAAAAAAAACTATCATTAACCCTGATCTTGCTGATCCAAACCCCTTGGCCAATCTAATCACTCAATTTAAAATAACTAACTCAAACATTAACAATTAAATAAATATTAACTGCCAAACCAAACAATGGCCAAATAAAGAACAATCAAACACACAACCAAATTACACTGTGTATTAATACCATAATCCAATAGTCTATGCAAACATACAACAAACTTCAAACTGCTGAACAAACTTAACCACCAAAATATCCAGCCAAAGCATATTGTGCACTTACAATTCGCACAAACAGCACTCCCAATTCTCAGTGCCAGTATTACCATATAACCAATTCCACTAACAATAATACTAACCCATTAATATGCAAGTCATTCAGTTTGTCAGAATAGAGACTGAGAAGAGACCCTAAAGTGTATGTTCTTAGACATGCAGACGACAACCAAGTTGCATATTAACGTTCATACCAGACAAACAAAAACAAACCCAATTTGCTCAATAGCAACAGGAGACCCATACACACCAAAAGTGACCCAAAATAACAATACAGCCATCCAATATTCGGATATATCACACCCCTAATAAATCTGCACCGCCTAAATTCCAGTGCCTAGAACAGTCATATCAGACTTCTAAAAACTGCTTAGCTTGGGTACCTGGAGCTCTGTCCTTCTGGACATGTGTAAACCAGGTGAGTGAGCAGTTATAGATTAAAAACAGCACAACAATATCCCAGTGCCTAAACTGCTTTGCTTGGGTGCCTGGAGCTCTGCCCTTCTGGGTATGTGTAAACCAGGTGAGTGAGCAGTGATAAAGAATAAAATCTGCACAACCTCAGTGCCTTAACTGCTTTGCTTGGGTGCCTGGAGCTCTGCCCTTCCGGGTATGTGTAAACCAGGTGAGTGAGCAGTGATAAAGAATAAAATCTGCACAACCTCAGTGCCTTAACTGCTTTGCTTGGGTGCCTGGAGCTCTGCCCTTCTGGGTATGTGTAAACCAGGTGAGTGAGCAGTGACCATGAAACCCCAAGAAAACAATGCTAGCCGGCACAACTCCTATGCCAAACAGCTCAACAAACCTCAAAAACCTGAACTGTCCCACCAGACTTCAAAACTAATCCACAACTAACCACCAACCTGGCGCAAACACTAACCACAACTAACAACCTCAATATGCTCTACACTTCCAAGGCTAGCCACCAAAGCCACAATAGCGTATTGACCAACCACCAATAAAAACAATTCGTGCTTCACCCAGCACAACAAGCTCCAACCTGAGCAACACCTAAGCGCCAAAAACAAGAGCTATACCTAGCCATAATCTGCAATACCAACAATTGCCTTCCAAGAAAACGACCGATTCCGCGTGGTCCGCTAAGCGGCGCAGTGCGGTAAACTTGTCCAGATCCAGCCATTACACGGATCTGGGCCACCAGCCGTATGTACTGAGTAATAGACCAGTACATACTACAAAAAAAAAAAAAATTAAAAATCCATCGCACGTCAGTCTCTATGAGAGGGGAGACGCACAAACGACAACGCATGGTAACCAGTTAAAATACTTTGTCATACCTGGCATTGCAGCAGCAGGGTATTCTAAGATGTTTTTTAGTCCTGCCTTTTGTCTCAAGCAGCAGTTTTTTCATCCAAGTTGCCCTGCACTCTTGCCATTTTTACGTCACCTTCTCTCCCTTACAGCACATTATCAGAACAGCCGGCTTATGGCATTCTAAATACTAGTAATGCTGTCGCCGCTTTCAGTCTAAAGATGTTATGCTCAATTAATCACAATCAATTACAAAGAAGAAATGAGACAAACATAATTACACTTGCTATATCATACCGGGATAAAGCCCTAAACTATATCAAATCAAAGTATTGTGATTATATTAAGCTTCAAATTTTGTAACTGGAATTTGTAAACATCTATCCTAAATAAATCCGGACAAAGCTTGGCTGCCTACATATGAATGTGGAGCGTGTTTGTTTGGAATGTGTTTCTGCACCATGGTCAAGTGGGAACCAATTCCTCCTGTGTGTTCACTCATATTCCATTCACACACTCGCTTCCATTTGGATGTATGGTATCTGTAAATGCTCTGTCAATATAAAGGAAAAAAAGGGTACATTTTTCTCCACTCCTGTGGTGGCAATATATATACCCAAATGTCGTCAACAACAACAACAACAATAGCAGCACACACCTGAAAACAAAAAACAATAATTAATTAATAATTTGCCAAAAAAAAAAATATATATCAATATTAATTACATACATATATGTATATATTGTTTCAGCAAACAAATAACATGCATGCATGCATGTATGCTGACATGCACGCATGTACGCATGTACACATGTACGCATGCTAAACTAGCATACATGCACGCATGCAAGCATAATTATACATACACATATTGCTACTCAATCATCCATCAATCTAACTCTGCATTCAATAAAAATAGCTAATATTGCCAATCGGCTTTAATTGATAGGCAGCCGGTGCTAAAATATATTTGATACATTCTATCAAATATAAAAAGAGAGAAGGCACTAGGCGACAAATAACATCCAATTAGCTATCAAAAAAGCTGTATTAGTCTGATGTAGGATTAAGATTATCAAGATGGGGTGAATCTTTTTTCCCAAAAAATGGGAGATACAAAAATCCTTGTATTGGGAAAACACATTTATTACAGACACCCAATTTTACACAGGATAGCAAATACCAATAGATTGGCATGCTCGTCCGATGTTGTGCACTTGTGGAGTGGCCCAGTGCTGCGTGACTCTGCTTAAAACAATTGTTTCAACAGCAAGCACGCTCACTTATAAACGGGAACACACACACACTTCGTGTCGCTGCTCATGTCCAATCCCAGAAGTTGGAAACATTTGCCAAAAAACTATCTATAGAAAAACAAAATATCAATCATAAATAGAAAAAATATACTCCTCACCTTGATTCGCTTCAAAATCAATTCAAAACAGACTAATAAGTTAAATATTCAATAAATTAAATTCTCTCATCAAATTTTCTTTTTGCACGGCCCTCGTCAATTAATGCTGGCTTATGGCATATACATATAAATGCTGATGCCGCACAAACTCAAATTGTACGTATCTTTTAATATATAAAAATAAATAACTAATTCTAATCTTTTTGGCCTACAACTTGTACATATAAAAAAAAAACAATTTAATTACTCTACAATTCATTAATAACAGACAAATACTAATCATAAGAAAAACAAATACATCTATCATACAAGTGCATATATATTGTACAATTTAAATAATAAATTACTAAAGTATGCTTTAATTTGGCAAAAACGCATACAAATTTATATATATTTATAATTGTAAAATTAATCTAAGCACAAACTACTCATACATGTTAAACACACACACACACACACACACACTAATCATACACATACAAAATTGTTTATCATATGTAAGCTGAAAATTTAAGAATAATGTTTTTTATAAATATATACATACGTATATCAATAAAATTTCTGGGATGGTAAGTCGAAGTTTGATGGAACGGACTGTAATCGAGTCGGTTACATGCGCAACGCTGAAACAGATGTAAGTGAGATCAAATGGGAGTGTGTGCCCTTTGTCGCGATTGGTTGGAGCAGGTAGCGAAGTATGCTGCTAGCAGGCACCCATCACAATGCTGCCTCGCCATACCTCGCCGCCCCCCCTCCGTCCACATTGCGAGCACTCTCACTCTCCCACTCTCTCTCTCTCTCTGTCTGTTGGCGATGCGGGTGCTCGGCGTCCCAAGCATGTGCCGCCTCTCAGTTCGTCCCATCCGACCCGGCTTCCCATTCGATTCTCGAACCAGAAAAAAACTTGCTATATCATACCGGGATAAAACCCTAAACTATATCAAATCAAAAGTATTGTGATTATATTAAGCTTCAAATTTTGTAACTGGAATTTGTAAACATCTATCCTAAATAAATCCGGACAAAGCTTGGCTGCCTACATATGAATGTGGAGCGTGTTTGTTTGGAATGTGTTTCTGCACCATGGTCAAGTGGGAACCAATTCCTCCTGTGTGTTCTCTCATTTTCCATTCACACACTCGCTTCCATTTGGATGTATGGTATCTGTAAATGCTCTGTCAATATAAAGGAAAAAGCACCTTTTAAATCATTAATTTCAACAAATCTTTCAAATTGGCCCCTCTGGCAAACATTGTTTACGTTTTTAATAACATTTACATAAATTCAACAGCTGAGTATGTCCAGTCAGCTGTTCTCAACGCTATCGAAATCAGCCCTGATAACGTTAACAGAGGCACTGTTAATAACAGAAATAGCGCTGTAAAATGTTAAAAAAATTCAAATTAGCCCGCCAAACATAATATTAAGTCTGTTAAATGTAAAAATACTTGTAAAATATTTATTTTTCGTAATTTCTCACATAATTGTCCAATGTTGTGATATGCATGTAATTTTTAAGATTGTTTTGTACATGCCAGTAATTTGTCAACTAGTCCGTTTCACATTCAGACCTTTTTTGTACCAATTCTGTCTCTTATATTGTATTGTGAACTAGATGTAAGCAATGAGAAGACAATAAAATGCGACTGCTAACTTAATCGTTAGCAGTTCGTCGTAGCGCAAGCATGCGCAGCAATTTAAAAAACTGCAGACTTAAAGCACTCTACAAGAAATTAGAATGGCTCATAGGCAAAAAGAGCATGTTGTCTGTAGACTGCAAAATCACCATCTACAAGCAACTTGTTGCACCAATATGGAGATATGCTTTGCCGATTTGGGGTGCCATGATTTCCGACACACAGCTGCGCCGAATAGAATCCACACAGAATTGGATTCTAAGGAAAATAGTAAAGGCCTCTTGGTGGATAAGGAACCAAGACATTCGCGAAACATACGACATAGGCACAGTGGATGAGATATTCAATATCACAAGTAAAAGATTTGCCAATTCACTTGTTATCCATCCAAATGCCAATGCTCGTAAACTCATCGCAAG